TGAGGTTCTTTTTTAACTTTGTCAAGGGCAGGAAAGCGAGGAATAAACTGGAAGCCATTAAGGATGATCAGGGCAATTGGATTACAGAGGAACATGATATTGCTCAGGTTGCTGGGAATATTTTCAAGAACTTGTATGGGTGTAACACAACAGTGGGTTCAAATTCCAGGGGAATGGAAATTGATCAGGTTACGAGAGCTATTAAAGTTACACTCACGGAGGATCAAAAGGATATTCTCTCAAAACCGTACTCGAGGAGAGAGATCAAAGATGCACTCTTTTCCATGAAACCATGGAAAGCTCCAGGTCCAGATGGCATCCCTGCGGGTTTTTACCAAAAAAAATGGAATTGGGTGCAAGATGATGTTACTGAGGCAGTGCTCTCGTGTCTCAAATCAGGTAATATTCTGCGTGAATTGAATTGTACAAACATTGCTTTGATTCTTAAATGTGACAATTCGGACTCAATGAATAAACTAAGACCCATCGGGCTTTGCAATGTTGTTTACAAAATTATTTCAAAGTGCATCACAAATAGATTAAGGAAAGTAATAGGTGGTTTAGTGAGTCAGTTTCAAAATGCCTTTATCCCCAGAAGAGCAATTTCAGATAATATCCTACTAGCTCATGAATTAATAAAGAATATAAGGAAGACTAACAAAGGTGTAAAGAGAAAGTTAGCAATAAAAACTGATATGAGCAAAGCCTACGATAGGATCAAGTGGGATTTTCTTGAACAAGTGTTATATAAATTTGGGGTGCCTGATCTAATGGCAAGAACTATAATGAATTGTGTTAAGTCAGTTTCCTTCTCTGTGATTATTAATGGCTCACCTAGGGAGAAATTCATTCCTAAGTGTGGCCTTAGGCAGGGGGACCCCCTCTCCCCGTATCTTTTCATTCTTTGTATGGAATCTCTCCGGGATGATTATAAATGAGGAAGAAAAAGGTAACATAGCTGGGATAAATGTTGCTCGGAATGCCCCCAAGATCAGTCATCTGTTTTTTGCTGATGACTCGGCTTTTTTCCTACAAGGGAATGACAACAATGTGTTAGCTTTGAAAGAGGTCCTAGAAGTTTATTGTAGAGCTTCTGTCAGGTTTATTAGCAAAGAAAAGTCTGTTTTATTGGCTAGTCCTAACTCTAGTGAGGACATCATAAGCATACAAAGTGCCTTATTGGGAATTAATAGAAGCACTGGGTTTGGCGTTTATCTGGGAATCCCAACAGATTTTGGAGCCTCAAAACAGCAGATTTTTAACGCATTGGTGGATAAAGTGAAAGAAAAATTGAATGTCTGGAATTCACTCTTTCTTTCCCATCCTGGTAGACTAACTCTAATTAAATCAGTGCTCTCAAACTTGGGAACATATGTGCTTTCAGCCTTCAAGTGCCCTGTTAAAATTCTAAAGAGAATTAATAGTGTTGTTGCAAGGTTTTGGTAGCTTGGGAACAGGAATGGAAAGGGTGTTTATTGGAAAGGTTGGTCTCGCATCACCCGGACAAAAGACATGGGTGGTTTGGGAATTCTGGATGCTCGATTCTTCAACCAAGCACTGTTAGCAAAGCAGGGGTGGCGCATTATTCATGATAGAGAGTCCCTAATCAACAAAGTTTTTAGTGCCAAATATGGCATAAATAGGTTTTCTCTATTTGAGGAGACATGGAGTAGGAGGGCCCTGGGATCGTGGGGTTGGAATGGTATTAAATGGGGTCTGCAAGTCTTGAAAAAAGGTTGTGCTTGGTCCATAGGGGATGGGTGCTATGCAAAAATCCACCATCCCTGGGTCTATGGTGCAACCCCGGAGTGGAGATATCAAGGTTGTTCTAATAATGACTGTGTTGCTAAGCTTAGAAAGGAAAATGGGGACTAGGACTTGGAGATCTGCAGGGAGTGGTTTTCTGATGATACTGTCATCAAGATCTCTAGTATCAAAGCCATGGAAGTTGGGTATGAGGACTTGATTGTTTGGAAAAAGGATGGGGGGGTACATACTCAGTTAGCAGTGGCTATAAAGTTATCTTTGATGACAATCATCACCAAAAAAAGGAAAGGAGCTTAAGGATAAAGCATAACATTGATTGGAGAGATTTCTGGAGGAAGGAAGGCACTCCTAAACAGAAGATTTTCTTGTGGAAAATCCTTAATGGTGCACTTCCAGTAGGCAGTGAGAGAAAAAAAAGAGGTTTGGGTGAGCATCATCATTGTGTATTGTGCTTTGAGGAGGACAGTCATAGCAATAGTCACTTAGAAACCTTAGAACATCTCTTTAGGGACTGTAATTTTGCTAGTCACATATGGAAGGGCTGCAGGTTAGGTATTAATGTCAATCAACAAGAACATATTCCTATTGTAGAATGGATCTACAATTGGATGAGAATTTTGAGTGACAAAGGAAGAGAACTAGGGGGCGGCTATCAACTATTTCTGACAGGTTTGGATAGCATCTGGGAGGTGAGGAATAACAAAATTTTCAACAGCACGAAACCAAATCCATGGACAGCAATCAGGAGTATGGATAGGAAGGTGAGCTTTACCTACAAGGAAATGGATGAGCATGCAAGTGGGAAAAAGGCCTGCAAACCTAGAAGAACATCAGTCTGAACCCCCGGGTTTCGAGAGAAATCGAGGTGTAATTGACAGGAAAAACTTGCGGTATAATGAAGAAATACAACTTGTGTTAGGGAAGAGTGATTGTAGCACTGCTAACCTTAGTATTCATCACAGCAGGAACAGAGGTAAGGAAGGTAAATGGTATTGGATCATGAAGACCGCAGGTATCACTCTAAAGCAAGGAAGAGCGCGTATGCAGAAACAAAGTAGAGAGTGTGGCTTTCTACACACTGTGCTTGATGGACTGCAGAAAGCTAGAAGACTGAAGCTTGGCATCTGAAGATTGTGAGTGCAGAACAGAAAATTCTTAGATGGATGCAAAGTGACCACATAAGCATTCAAGGGGATAGGATGGAAAAAAGCAAGATAAACGAACTGATTCCTCAATTTCATTGTATTTATGTTTATTGTAACAAGTCCAGGGAGTAGCTTCTCTGTTCTTGAGCTGTCAAAAAAAAAAAAAAAAAAACCACCGTCCACCTTATCCTAGTTATTTTGAGAAGATAGTATGTGAGTTCGAACTCACAATGAGACAGATACAAGTGTCATGAAGTATTGAACATTCCATAATAATATAATTTTAACATCTCAACTTTTAAAATTTAGATAAAAGTTTTGGACATATCATACATATAAAATTCCAACTTTTTGGATTGTGTACTCACAATCAAACAAACTCATTCAATACTTTGTGTTTTTGTTGTCTTTGGAAAGTAGACTTAACAATAGAATTCTATTATTATTTTTTTTTTGGTTTTCAAAGAGCCACAAGGACGGAGGTGGGAATCAATCCCATGATATCCTAAAATCGAAAAAAAAGCTCTAACCACTTGAACTTTTTCTCACTCTCAAACAAACAAACCATCTTAACCAACTTAATTTGTAAGTTAAAAGAGAACAACACCTTTACTTAAATTTGAAACCAATTCCAATGGAGTACTAGTATGATAGGAGGGAGAAAAAGAGGTGATAAAACATAAAGAGACCAACTTTGGTTAGTATTTTGATGAATAAGTTTGACCAAATGGCAAAAACATAATGCAACCAAGTTCTAGACTTTACCCAGAAAAGCGGCCACAATCATCGTTATTTTGACGGCCATATATAGCCTTTCTTCTGTGTCCTATTAAAAACACGAAACCGTAAATTCCTCGCATTTATCTCTTTGCTCTTCTTTGTTAAATTAAAGCAGAAAGTAACAAAAAGATTACTCCCTTACCAAATTCCCTCTCTTTTCTAGCCTTTCGGTGCAACCAATCCCTATTCCTACTCACTTTAATTCATGCCAATTATCATTACATCTTTCATTTTTTCCCACTCTTATTATGCAACGAGTTTTTACCACTTCTAATAATAATTACTCATCTCAACTACTCGTGATAGGGCGTATTTAGTTTATCCAATTTTAACTTGTTGAAATTTATTAGAACTTAATTGAAAATTTTTTAACTATAAATTTAAGTAGGATAATTTTATTAACTTTTTTTTAACCCTTTTCTAGACTTATATTTTTTTTATGAATTTGTAGTGTTTGAACTTATGTTAACCTTTAAGAACTTAAGTATTAAATTTTGTAAAACTCTTTGGTTGCATTCTTATCCACTGATCAAACATATAAACTTATAATATGGAAAATCAAAATTTTGTTAGGAAATCTATCATAATATAATTATACTAATAATTACATAAAATAATATTCTCTCCGTCCCTAAATTAAAATCCTCTTTATCTTTATTATGTATTAAGGGACGGAGGGAGTAAAGATTATATACATCTTACAATTATGACAAGGATATCTAAATAATTTTCTCTAATACACCTCATAATCATAGCAAGAGAATATCGTACATTAAAATAAATCTAAATGAAAATAGTCAGCATAAAAGGCCTTTTATTCGTGAGAATATCAGTTAATTAATACTCGGTACCATATAACAACATGTAGAACTTGAATTTCACCAACCAAAATCTTAATCATATACATTCCCCCTTACTCTTTTTCTATATTTTCAATAAGAGTAGACTATATACAAAACCATAAACATATCTAGTTGGATGTAAGCATTTTATTTTTTTAATTTACGGGCGGCTCATTTTATTTTAATTTCTTAATTAATCAGGACAAAAAATGAAAAGAAAACTGTGCTGTTACACCATTAAATATTTTTTCCCTATGTCTTTTTCTTGATAGTGATTGTTTTCACTCTTGCAACCTTAATATTCCCTCCAATGCTTCAAATACACATCTTCAATAATAGCCTCAATAATAATCAACTCAATAACATAACCTCATTATTAATCTTTCTTCAATCAATTATCTATCATTCTCTCTCTACTACCCTTATATTCCTTTCTCCCTCTTCCATATCATACTCATCATCAACAATGGCTGTAGATGTGTTCTCCGAGAATTTCGTTGGCATGATTAGTCCCAGACTTTCATTTTCTCGAGATCTGGATGAGAACGATACAAGTAGTACCAATATCAACGACTATTCCTGTAAGCTGGATCGCTCCTTTGTCGATTCAGCTTTCGATTTTGCTTTCAATGTCGATACGAGTATCACATTTCAATCTTCGTCAGCAGATGAGCTTTTCTCTGATGGAAAAATCATTCCTACTTGCTTAAGAAATGAAGAAGAGGTTAAAAAATCTGAAGCAGTTGTAGAAAGAGTACCAGTAATACCCTGTTTGGATCTTCAGTCTGCGACGATTACGGATACGGGGAAAAAGAGTTTAAAAGAGTTCTTAGAAGACAGTATAGAAGAAGAAGAGGAGGAGGATGTTAACAATGCTGCAGTTGCGGCGAAATCGTTTTGGAAATTCAGGAGAAGTAATAGTTTGAACTGTGATAGAAATCAGAGAAAAGGGTTAATTGGGTCATGGAAAATATTATCTAGGAGTGGATCAACAGGCAAATTTTTGGAAAAGATAGTAGAAGAAGAAAAACCCAGTAATTTTCATTCAAAGTTGTTGAGGAAATTTAGCAGAAACAACAGTTTGAGTAATTGTTCTGATAATGGTAATGTTTCTACTAGTAACAACAAAGTGTTAATTGGGTCGACTAAAATGTTGAGGAGAAGTCATTCAACAAGTGATCATTATTTTTCGAAATCGGATTCGGGTTTGTTTAGAAGGAGTAATTCAACTGGTTCTGCACCAAATAAGTTGAAGAAGCAACAATCACTCAAACAACAACAACAAAATGTAGGCAATGGTAAATCATCTCAAAAGGGAAAGGTAAAGGATAATATTAGTAGAAATAGTTATGGTTATGGTAATAATTATAACAATAATTTGAGGATTAATCCAGTGTTAAATCTTCCAACTACATACATTCCTATAGTAAGTATAGATTTGTTTAGTTTTGGTTCATTATTTTGTAATAATGGTACCAAAGATAGAAAGAAAAAGAAATGAAACATTTTTAGTATTTTTCTATGTATAGTCGACTCATTGCTTGGTGCATGCCCACGAGTGAGCGTGTTTGTACATGAAATTTAATACTCATTTTTACTAGTTTTGTGGTTTAACAAGGACAGTGCCAACGTGAAGCCTTAAATGACAGCCTTTCTTCCCATTCATTTTTTGTCATTTGATTCAAGTGTTGTGTAAATAATTGTGATCTTCTTCAAATATCAAAACCTCCTGAATTGGGTACCTAAATTAAGTGTTTCGTATGTTATTTGTATTATATATATGTGATACCATCAAGTGAATAAATAGTACAATTAAATAGTGTAATAGACTAGTGTTATTATAATATTCTCTGATGGCGTATATATGTCATGATATTTTGTTGTAGTATAGATAGAGTTTAATCACTTTTATGTACTAGCTAGGTAGATTTTAATGATACTAATGTGGTATCTAATAATACTATTAAGACTCCAATTATATACCCTCGGTTTCACGCTGTTATTCACCTTTGGAATCAATGACTAAAAAAATATAAGAAAATGTGGAATCCTAATATTTTGATTGATTTTAATTTTTAATGATGAGCTGCCTTTCATTTTTGAGATGACATAAATATTCAATGTATTTTTTTTTTTTTTTATTGCAAACACATCATATTTTTCTCAATATATTCATTTTCAATCTCTCTCTCTATTTTTTATCCACCATTTTTTTTGCATCCATCAACAATATTACGTATTACATGGCTACACCACCCTCTCAACTCCTTGTTTTTCGTAATTGTACTCAAGTTCATTTGTCCATAAAGAAAATTAAAAGAGAGAACAAAAATGACAAGCTTCAGGGAATGTAAGTGCCACCCCTAGCCTGGGTGTTGCGAGGTAATGGAGATTGGAGGAGATGTCAAAAGGCGTTAAAGGTGGGTTACATGCACATGAGACCTCGCATACGTACTATCATTGACTATAAACACGTTGGATCCCAAACATCTTGCTCATTTTTGTAGGCTATTGATTGACAACCATTAAGATCTCATCACATGTGTAGTAGTACAAATTCAGGAGATATCACTCTATCACTAGGTTTTGCTTAGATAATATACATTAAGGGGGCGTTTGGTATCAACTTAGTAAATTAAAGGTAACGGAATAGAAACAAATTAGGAGGGGAAAGGGTAATATATAGTGTTACCCTTACTAGTTGTTTGATATTACTTTTTTTTTTTTTTTGAGGGAAAGTTGTTTGGTATTACTAAGAAAACGTAAACGATTAAAATCAAGTCGTTTCCTTTTGTTTGGCATAAAAAAGGGAAAACAAAATTTTCAAAAAAAAAAAATATAAAATAAATAAATAAATAAATTAAAATATTGGTGGGCGATATTAATCACAATTCACGAGCTACTTTATTGCTTCAACTTACTCAAAATTCTTTTCTCTTTTTTCTTACTCCAATTTAATTACTCTAATCCAACCACCAATTTCATCAAATCATGAAAAAAATCAGCAGATTACTAGATCACTTTTTTCTTTTATTGATCATAAAATACTACTACACCAGATTGAAATCAGCAGATCATCAAAAATCAAAATTATCAACATCAAATCAGATTATCGTAAAGGCAAATTAATCTTCATCATCGATCATCATGAAAATTCAGTTTTTTTTTTTCTTTTTTGTAAATTTTTGATGGATGAGATGTGAGAATGATGCGTTGTTGTTGAGTGATTTTATTTGACCCAGTTTTGGCGATTTTAAATAATGAAGCAAGATCTTGAACAATGTCATGATGAGAAATCGATTCGGAAGAGAGAATGGGTGAGTAAGAGCTTTGGAAGAAGAGTCAATTAGAGATGTTAACATTGTTAAATGCAAGAAATGGTATTTGTTTCCTTGGGTCAAATAGCGGAAACAAATTAAAGTGGGGGAAACTATTACACCCAAGTAACGGTATTCGTTACTCTCTAGCCTTTGTCAAACAAGCAGTAACGGAGTGGATTATTTGAAACTGTTTCCCTACCTTAAAAAATTCATACCAAACACCCCATAAGATTAACCTTATACCAAGTAATAATTATTATATTCATGATCTTTAGTATGTATACAACTCAATAAAAATGGTCAAAATTGGAATAATGAATAGTCTAAAAATTCAAAATCCCTATTGAAAAGTGAAGGCTGCATTTATCTATAGTGACGCCTTAGTCTTTGATTTAATTGATAATAATTTTTCTCCCTAACTTTTACAATTTGCGTGAAAAGAAGAAATGGAGATAAAGGGAGGGAAATGAAAGTAAAGAAAACAAGTTTATTTCAAGGTGGGGGTCTAAGGAAAACAAGTTTAAAGTGTGCTCTCTCCATTCCAAAGTAATTGCATTACTTTGCTTAGCTTATAAAATCTCCTAAATTAATTACTAGTTACAATTCTACTCCCTCCGTCCCTAAATTACATTCCTCATTCTCTCTATTATGTGAGGAATAAATGCTAGAAAGAGGAATGTAATTTAGGGATGGGAGGAGTATAACTTACTTAGCGTAAATTCATATTTTTTTTAATTTACGTTAAAAATAACACCCAATCAATGCAACAATCATCCAATAAAATATTTCCTCTGTTCTTTTTTACTTGACTTGTTTCTTTTATCACACTTGCCAATGCAAAACTTTAACGGTTAATAAATTTAATTCTCCATAATTAAAAAATATAAAAGTTATATAGTATGATAGTACTTATTGAGACAAATCCAAAATGATCCAACATAAATATATTTTTCCTTATATATTATTCACAAAACACGGTCAAAGGAAGGTGATGAATAGTGTAAAAGTCAAAGCGGGTCAAGTAAAAAAGAACGGAGGAAGTACTTTATAAAGCAAGTCAAGTGCATAAAATCTTTGAAAAGGTTTTGCGTGACACCGCTTTACGTGAGTTCAGTTTATAATGCACACACCCATCCTCCACCCACTGCCACTGCCACTACTAGCCACTTGTCGACGACCGGCGACCACCCTCCCCCTCCCATCCCCCGGCGCTGGCGACCCTCCACCACCCATTCCTCGACGTCGGAGACCCCACCCCCTCCCTCTCCGTGTGTATGATGGTGGTTTCTAGTTATAGTCGAACTGAACAAAGTGGTTCTTATGGTGTTGTTTGGAGTTCTGGAATTCAATTTTAGTGAGGTCTTAGCATCAAATTATCTTATATTTGCTAATATTTATCAGACTGTATTATCAACTTATCTTATAAGAATCTAATATATATATATAAAGGGGAGTTTTTTCCCGAGTTTTTAGAGAGCCATGTAGGATCTAATTTTCTCAACGCGCCATGTAGGATTATAAATCTTAGTAGTAGCCAATTAAATAAGAGATTATTAATTTCTTTTAGAATTAAATAATTTAAATGCCATGTAAGCAAAATTGGCGAATGAGATTTTTAAGTTTAAATAAATTAAATATTATATATTATCTTTTAATATTAGGAATTTTATCTAAATATATAACAAATTTTAGGCTCATAAATACAAATAAAAACATTATTAAAAAAAAAATCAAACAAACCGTGCATCGCACGGGCTTCATCTAGTTAGTTTTATATTGATGGACTAATTATCAGATTATCAGACTATATTACTCCCTCCGTCCCCCATTGATAGTCACTTTTGCTAAAAAAAATCATGGGAATTAAGGAGAAATAAAGAAAGTACATTGAAAAAGTAAATTTACATTGGGTATGCAAAAAAACAGAGAGAGAAAGTAATTAAAGTACATGAGAAAGTAAAATTTACATGGGAAAATTAAATTTGCACAAATATTTTTGCAAATGTTAGAGAATTTTGGTAAAAAAAAATAATATTAATGCATGGTACTTGAAAAAAGCAAATGTGACTAACATTTTGAATCACCAAAAATGGCAAAAGTGATTATCAATCGGAGACGGAGGGAGTATAAGATTATCAGATTATCAGATTATCACTTCTAGCATAGATTCATATATAGACATTCAATTTTAGAAGTGATGGAATGTCATTCGTTATCATACGTTTTTCAAATTGTTGATCAATATTGTCTAATATCTGATACTTATAAACCAATATCTGACTATTATAATCTAATTTCAAACACTTTTAATCTAATATTTGATAATTATAATCTAATTTCTGACAATTACACTCTAGTATCTGATAATTATAATCTACGGAAATTTCATCAAATGCCCATGAGTTATTTTTTTATTCACCATATACCCATGAAAATTTTCAAATTCACCATATGTCCCTGAGTTTTAAAAAAATGTCACCAATTGCCCAAATGACTAACGGACGTTAACTCCGTTAATCATAAGGCTAAATTTGCCACGTAGCAACCTATGATTGGTTGTTATTTATATAATTTAAATTTTAAAATAATTATTTAATTAATTATCAAAAAAAAATTTAAAAAAAAAATAACTCACCCACCATAACCACAACCACCGCCCAGCCCCAGCCACCACCTTCCAGTTTCCGTAAAAACCCAACGCCGGCGCCACCCCAAACCCGACACAAACCAGCCCACGCTGCCACCCCACCCCACCGCCACCCCAAACCCGACGCAAACCACCTACTCCCCAAACCGCCCCTTCATCTCTTCCTTGAAATCCCCTCCCCACCGCGTCGGTGTCCGAATTCCTATCCCCACGCCAGCGAACCCAAGCCGCACCTCCTCCCAGTCGTGTCCATTTCGTGAACCACCATGCCGGACCCAAAAAAAAAAAAAAAAAAAAACCCAAAATCAAAACCCTAAATTTGATTTTTAAGGTTTCGATTTTGGGGTTTTGGTATTTAAGGGTGGTGGTTTTTGGCTAAGAGTGTTGGCGAGCCCAAACCCCCCTCCCCCTGCCATCTCCAACCCCATGAAACACTGCGTCGATTAACAAAATCAAAAACCCCAAAAACAGAAACCTAGGGTTTTAATTTTGGGGGTTTAATGTTTTTAGGTGGTGGTTTTCGGCTTTGGTGAGCAGCAGCAGTGTGGGGGAGGGGATTGAGTTGCCGGCGAGCGAGATTGGTGGAACCGGCGGCGCTAGTGTGTAGTGGGGAGGCTGGTGGGTGGCGGTTGTGGGGAGGTGGCTGGGTTTAGGGTTCGCCGGCAGAAGCAGGTTGGGGTTAAAGGTCTTTTTTATAAAAAAAAATTTATTTTAGTTTTTTTTTTTAAATATATATATATATAATATTTAGTTAAATAATATTTAAAAAATAACCAATTAGATCTAGCCACGTGGCGTACTTAACCCTAATGACTAACGGAGTTTAACATCCGTTAGTCATTTGGGCAATTGGTGACATTTTTTTAAAACTCAGGGACATATGGTGAATTTGAAAATTTTCATGGGTATATGGTGAATAAAAAAATAACTCAGGGGCATTTGATGAAATTTCCGTATAATCTAATAACTGACTATTATAATATAATTTCTGGCATTTATAATCTAGTATCTGATAATTTCTGACACTTTTATTCTAATTATGATATTTATAACTTAACATCTAACTATTATTATCTAATTTTTGATAATTAAGATTTTTTTTTTCCTGGTTATATGACCGGAATCACGTGAGTCCGTTTTACACCATACATACTTTCACAAGATCTTATGTTGGTCAAATTATTGCGACTAATTCAGAATTAGAGTATATATTTGATGGGAAAAATGAGATCCACAATCCTATAAACACATGATTATAATTTTATGAATAACACTCTTTGCTAAAATCACTCTTTTTCTTAATAAGTGTATATATTTGATGGGCGAAATGAGATCCACAATCCTATGAACACATGATTATGATTTTATGAATAATCACTCATTGCTTAAATCACTCTCTTTTCTTAATAAGTGTATCACAAGCTATGATTCACAATTCGAAACTTTACTGCATCAATTTCCAAAGTTGTATGAGAATTATATTGCCAAGTAGATCGTTTTGATGGACATTCAAATCAAAGAATATGAAGATTGTACGATTATAAATGTACCAATCGGTCGTGTGATTGTACGTATCTAAAGCACCATTGTACTCTATATCTCTTAAAATCGTAATCAATGTTTTAAAAAGGAAAATTTGCAAATTGCATCCATTTAAAGTTCATATTTTGCAAATTGCAGCCATTTAAATAAAAAATTGTAAATTGCAGCCTAAAAGTTCATATAAATTGTAAATTGCAGCCCGATTCAACTTTTTCATCGGCTTACAAGTTGAAAAATCTTCGATTAAGGTTTTAGGGGCCATTTTAGTTCTTAGGGGTCCGAGTTGAGCTCGGAATCAGCAAAAAAATAACGCAAGTATCTCGTTTTGCGTAACAAAAATGTATCGATTTGTGGGAAATTGTAAATATGAGACACTTACGTTTTTTTTTTTTTGCTAATTCCGAGCTCAATTTGGGCCCCTAAGAACTAAGATTACCCCTAAAATCTTAACCGAAGATTTTTTAACATGTAAACCGATGAAAAAATTGAATCAAACTGCAATTTACAATTTATACGAACTTTTGGGCTGCAATTTGCAAAAAAAAAAAATTTAAATGGCTGCAATTTACAAAATACGAAGTTTAAATGATTGCAAATTACAAATTTTCCTTTTAAAAAAGTAAAAAATTATAAAATACAGCCAAAATACATTTATTTTTTTTATTGTATTATTTTCATGTATTACAAAACTACTTCTTAGTTTCTATCATTCTATGTTAACAACGTGATAAACTAGATGATACGGAATATATTATTAAATAAGGATATAATTGTTATTTCACCTTAAATTCCTTGAATAAACTTATTAAAAAGCTCTTCTAAACAACTTATTGAAAATAAGTTTTTTTTTTATTTTTTTACGAGAAAAAAATAATATCTTTAATAAATAGCTATACGGCATCTACAATAATAATAATAAATATTTGTAAAACACTAATTTAGAGAGATTAACATAACTTTTCCAATCAAAATCATAACTAATTTATTTGCATATTTGGCATACCTCACACTCTACCGCTTCAATCTTGACGCGAGCGGTGATTTTCGATGTTTTTGCATCTTTCCAAGTAGAGAACTAGAGACTTTCGCAACTTACACTGATACTATGATCGTAGAGTTTAAGACAAACCCTAAATCCGTGTAAATCCAAATGATCTTCCCAATTATTATCAGAATCCTAAAAATAAAATTGAGACAAACTCTACAGAAATAAGCAAAACAAAACAAAAGCAAACCAAGCAAAAACTTAATAGAATTAAAGAAGAAGGGTCGAAAATAGTCTAATTTTCCAATAAATTTAACTGAAAATAAGCTTATTGGGTGGAATCAACTCTTCAAATCAAATGACCATCAAACACCCTAATTACCTTATTACACGGGTCAATTAACCAATATTAGTCAAATCAACTAATTTTGCCCCATTAAACTTACCACTAAACATCCTCTACAATTGTTTACATATTAGTAATTAAATATATTAGTCATTGAAATAAAGCATTGAGCCAAAATAAATTTTAACTATTAAATTGTCTTATGAAATATTAAAATGATCAATAAAAATATTACAATAATCTATTGCTAAAGAAAATTTTGAAACATCATAGCTTAACGCTTACAATAGCAGTTTAGATTATTCAAATCACTAATACTCCCTTCGTTTCTTTTTATTGGTTACATTTTGACTTGACATTAATTATAAGATGATATAATTTTCTAAATTATTCCCAATAATAAGACATAATATAGTCATGTAGGGTGTTGTTTGATTCGTCTTAACGCGTTAAAATTCAATTGTTATAATTTTTACAACTATGCAATGAAATATACTACCTCCGTTTCATATTATGTGCAACAAAGGGGTATTATTTGTGAGACATAAAATATTCCTTTGTTGCACATAATAAGAAACTGAGGTAGTATTAATGGTCAAACAAGTGCAATGACAAACATGTAAAGTCAAAACATAATAAAAAAACCTATCCATGAATTTATCTTCACCGGATGTTTATAAAAGATGTTGATCAACCCAAACCTCTCTTGCCTTAGGACAACCTAGATCTCTTGACCAAACAACACTTAAATAAACTGGTTGGCCTAAACGCAAACCCTGTTGGACATTACCCACTATTTAGGCCTGCTTTAGAAATAAAAGCCCATACTATTATTTCATGAAATTGTCACAGTTAGAAATATTTATGAACTTTATCAAAAATATATACGTAGTACATATATTTTCTTTCAAAAAATAAAAAATCTATACATATATTTATGGACTTAGCCCAGCCCAAATCATTTAGCCCATTGGACCTACAATTCCGGGTCGGGGCTTTCGGTGGTCGTCTACGACTAAAATTAGGGTATTTATTTAGTATTATGAGTAAAACACATAAAGGTAACTTAAAAAGTGAATTATTTAAACATTAAACAGTTAATCAATTATGATTGCAGATTTGCAGTAATACAAAATGGGTCCAACAGATTTTATCAAAAAAAAAAAAAAATGGGTCCAACAGATGAGATCGTTAAACCCGGTTCGTAACGGTCAAAATTGCTTCCAAAGTTCCAAACCCACATGTACAATTGTACAAATGTAAATACGAATATTCAATTATATAAGGTGTGTGTCAAACCCCTTAAGTGTGCGTGTTAAGGAGGATAACTGCTTAACGATTCGTCATTTGAATTTCCATGACTCCTTAAAAGGTACTCCGTAGTCCGTACTGTTTCTATCAATGCCTTTGTTTATGCTACCCTCTAAGGACTCTCCCGCCATCACTGTTCATGCGCGAATACGAGAGAGACTCGAATGTGCATATGAACTCATTGTTCAACCTTTAATGGCTTAAATTGCTTCACACATTGGCATTTCATAATGCTCTACAAGATTTGAGAAATTCCAATGGAGGCAAAGTTTTGCAAAAGAGTTGTACATAATACTACATACAAGTGGGGAATGACGAATCAGTCAGAAATACAAATACTACCATGACAGGATACATTTGATATGAAATCAGCATTAGCTCTCAACGAATTAGATGGATGGACTACAAAGGACGTCCATCACCAGTAATAAGACTAATAACTCTGGACAGAAGCAATCAACGAGCACCAGGAGATATGGTCATTTGTTAAAACCATTTACTGTAATAATCTCTTGCCTCAAATATTCATGACAAGCAACATAGCATGTTCTATATAGTTACATGCACGACAGCACAATCTAAGGATGGAGTAAGCATAATCAGCTATAAGCATTGTGCAAATCAGCCCTTGCACACCATATTCTCTATATGCAATATTGCTTTCCATCAAATAGTATAAGATCAGGCATCGACTGACAACAAAAACTTCCCCTAAAACAAAGAATGAATTGGATGCAATACAAAATTGTCTAAAGAGGATCCAAACTAAATCAATTGTTTAGTGGAATTGATGACAAGAATGCCTCGTTTTCACGCTTTCATGAAACTTAAAGAAACAACAATAACAAACTACCAAGATTCAAGAGAATATTATCAACATATATGATATAACAATACAAAAACCTATATTTAGGCGGAACACCCAAGAATAAAAGAAAGGGCGGCAAGTAAGCAAACTTTTCCACCATTAATTTCCACACTAAAAATTACTTGCCTTCATCAGAAATGCTACTCCCCACATCCAAATTCCATTGACACAAACAAATAAATTCAATCCAAATGCATAAACAAGCCCATTACCAAAACTCGGGATTCTCATCTAAATCGAAACGAAAAACAAACGCACAAATCATAAACCAAATTTCGATTTCTTCATTAATGAATAAACCACTCTTATTCCAAAACCAAAAACATAAGAATCTCTATATAGTAGTAACCAAATATTAGCATCTCTATTCATATAAACTGTACTAACATCAACAACAACAACAACAAAAAACCCGAAAATTCGAAACTTGCGTTAAATTCCCGGCCAGTAGAGCACATAGATGATGACGATGATCGAATCTAAACAACACCTCTGATTAATCTTGTAAAGTTTACCATTTTCTGTCAGCAGGAACTAAAATTCTTCCCTCCATATATCTACACTGGACTAGCAACCAATTCTCCCCACAGTACTAATTCTGCAATACAAATTTACAAACAAAATCAATGTTAATTCTTAAAAAAAAAACCAAATCAAAAATTCAAAAAAATGAAATGACAAATAAATTTGAAAGACTGAAAATTTACCAAAATTATCCAGTTTTTGGCTGTTCGTTTACTTTGTACATATCAGCTGATATCTCCGATAACCAATACCCGGGAAAAACTGCCTGAAAATTTCCCAAAAAAATAAAATCAAAAATCAATCAATGCAACAGCAAAAAAGCACTATTAAATAAAAACATCCAAAAATTTTCAAGAGAATTTTGAAAAAACATAAACTTACATCGATTTGCCTTTGAACGTATTTGGGCCGTTTCTTGGGCCTACGAGCGGGCCGAGTACCCAACATCGCTATAAAATCCTCTTCAATTTCTTGCTTAGAGAGAGTCCCGGAAAACTTCGCTCTCGGAGGTTCACCGCCATTTTCACCGGCGCAAACTTCACTGGAGTTTCTCCTCGCCGGAGATTTAGCCACCGGAGAAGAAGAAATATATTTCCGATCCGAAGAAGCGGGAAGATTGTTAGGCTCCTTACAAACAGCCCTTCTAGTCCTCAAATTCCAAGGTCTGGTCTGTTCCGCCGTCGTCGGCGGAACAACGACGTCGGATTTTTGAAGAAAGGCGGCTTGCATCTGATGAACTTGAGCCCGAAAATCAAGTATGAGTTTCTCCCCTAATCCTTCGATCCCAATCTTACCATTGTCGTCGTCACTGGATCTCCGCTTCCGACGGTGGTTGAACTCGGAGTCGCCGCCGTCAACGGCGTCGTTTTGGTGATCGACTGGGGTGTCTTCCTTGACGCAGCGGAGCTGAACGCGGCGACCCCAGGTGACGTTGAAGCAGGGGAGGGAGGAGAAATTGGGGAGAGTTAGAGTTCCTTTGGATCGTTCTGGAACCATCATCGCCGCCATTAGATTGTGTTTTTGAGGTTGTTGTTGTTCCGGTGACGGCGTTGGTTGTGGTCTGCGGTGTCGGTCGCCGTATTCCGCCGTGCCGGCAGAAATCACCATTAATTGTTGAGGGGAGTAACGAAGGTGGGTGAATGAGAGGGAATTGAAGAGGGGTTTGGTTTGGTTGGGTTGAGGAAGAGAAGAGAGAATTTGAGAGGAGAGAGAAAATTGTGATGGTTGTGTGTTGAGAATGTGACAAATCGCCGGGAATTACAAAATATATATGAGGGGTAAGGGAGAGGGTGAGAGCAAGGGTAAGCGGAAGGAGGGATTAGCGAACGAGCGAGCGGTTTTAACGTTCGTATACTTGTGGGAATTTTTTTTCATTTTTTTAATATAAGAAAATAAAAAATAAAAAAAATATTGTGTCTACTATGGTCATTTTAAAGTTTTAAGAAAAAGAGAGAAAACCTAATGAAGCTATAGTTTCTTCAATTTGATTTTGTTTGATTCAAATAAAAAGGGGTAATTTGTACAAAAATCGGTAAAATTATTTACACACAAAGTAAGCTAAATTCTAACTGTTTATAATTGTTAGAATTGTTTCGATGTGTACTTTTAAATAGTAATTGTTTATCTATTCAAAAAATAGTAATTGTTTATAATTTTAACTTAAGTATGATTACATATATTAATAATATATACTCATATATATAATGTGTGTTGCCAAGTGTGGAAACCTCAACGTTGAATTAAGAAGAACGAACAAAGTAAAATAGTTTAAGTATGATAAACATTTAAAATCTTAGCTTGAGTGTATATTGTTTCTTCTCACATGATAATAGAACATTGTGAGCTCAATGATGAGATATTTTTGTATGTATTTGATCTAAGGGTGTATTTATTTCCACTTAATGTATAAAAATAAGGGAAATTCTCAAAGTGACCCCCAACGTACTTCTGCTACGCACCAACGGTAACCCCATTTTTTTGGATTATACAAAATGACTAATTAACTTTTTTCTCTTAATGATGACATTAATGATGTTGTTTTAACATAAATATTATTAATAAAGCTAACCATGGTTAACTTTTTTCACCCAAAAGTCAGACATCAGCTTATAAAACCCTTTCTCCCCTGATTCCCCTAACTTCCTCCATTGTTATCTTCTTCTTCATCCAATTTTACGCAGCCACCATGGGAAGAGCTCGAGCAATCAAGCTTCGATACTGCGACTTTTCAGTTAAGCGATTTCTGGATGTGCCTTTTTTCGATACACGCTCCAATCCAGACAAGCTCTACTACAAATGCATTACATGCCACTTCTTTTCATGGGTTCCTAAAGAAAATATTGTGAGCATTGATGATGGGGTCAGTGATGAATGTTTTCTCGGTGGCTTTGGCAAGAAGATGATGAAGTTTGCAGTCGTATTGTTTTTAATTTGGTTTTCCTATACCTTAATTAAGTGAATGAGTTTGTAAACCCTAGATTGGTAGTTTGGGGAAAACTAGTTGAAATTAGGGTTTCATGTCAGGGCAATTGGGACGTTTGTACTTAGTTCTAACAATAGCTAGCTAGTTGAATGATGTACTACTCATCATCATCTATCCAGTTCTCATAAGCTTGCTTTCTAGTGCACAACCTGACCATTATTGTTCTTCTAATTCCTAACATTAACAACCACAAATTTCAGTGCTACATTCACCAATATAGACACATTACATGTATATAATAAAGAATATGTTACCTTCTAGCAAAGTTAGAACAGGTTTTGCTCTGTCCATACCCATTGTGGCATCAAAGCTTTCCATAAATTTGCTTTTGTTTACATCACATTTGATAGCCTCATTGAATTTGTGAATGGTCCATGTTAATTGATCCCCAACTTTATATCAAAGCAATTGGATTGACCTTCTATAGCTGGTCCATGGCTTTCCTAAATGTGGACTCATAATAGGCACTACAAACCCTCTAGAACAGGCTAAACATTAAAGGATCAGGGAATGGCTTCTTCCAATTCTTTACCAGGTGCTTGCAGCAATATCTTCTTCCAGCCTTTAGCCACAACACAGTCAATGCATCATCAATACCCTAGACAAAAAAAAATATAGATGTAAGACAAAGTACTGGCTCAGTTAAGTTAACAAAGAAAATTAATGGCTAAGTTTCATACCTTCTGTCTGTCTGAGATAATGCACCACTCATCACCTCTTCCACAGTCTATGAGTAAGTTCTTCAAATGTCATACAAATAACTTCCAATTATTTGTGTCCTCAGCTGATACAATTGCCCAAGCAAAGGGGAATAACTCATTGTTTACATCTAGTGCTACTGCAGATAATAGGACACCACCATGATTCTCCTTTAAGTGAGCCTCATCCACACATATGAAGCTCCTACAACCAGCTAACAACCCATTTATGTAGCCTTTAAATGATATGAATATACTCAAGAACTGAAGAGGCCTATCAATATGATCTTGAGGTGTCCAAGCACAGAAGGCAGAAGAACCTGGGTTTGTTGATCTAACCATTTCACAGTAGGCACATGAGATGTCATGACCCCCATTTATATCCCTCAGAGCCTTAGACCTCATCTTGTACAGAGTACTTGCAGACATTTGTACTCCATATCTTTGCCAGAGTAACTGGTTCAATGATTTGGCAGGGATATCATTATTGGTTCTTATATCTTCAAGCAACACCCTTGCAACCCACTTGGTAGACGCCATGTGTTTCTTCACCTCTAAACCAAAACAAGTGTGCTCCGTGTTCAGAATGAACTTGATTTCCCTGGTGACACCATCAGGATGCCTAGAGGCATGCAACCTCCATTCACAGTAACTTGAAGAACATGTAATTGCCTAGATTTTGTGCAATCCATCTCATATTAGATGCCTTGAGAACAATAACAGAAAAACCACTTTGTATGCAGTAATCTCTCACAACATATCTCAAATGTTGTTTATCAGTGAATAATTGCCATGGTTTGATGACAATTTTGCCAAACTCCTCATCATTGTACAACTCCCTATTTTTGTCCAATGTAGCAAAGTAATCCTCAGCATCATTGTCATTCTCTCACATAGGACCTTCCCTAGGATTAAAGTGATCAACAACTGGTTCTATATCAGCTTCATCCATTTCATCTACATCAACCCCTTCATCCTCTACATCATCATCTTAAACTTCTTCATAATCAAATTCACCACCATCCCCTTCCACTTCATCAAACTCAGAGTGGCTTCATCTTCACCCAAACTAACAACAAGTTGGTTTGATGGCTTAGTTGCTTCATCAGAATTTGTTATGAGAATCAATCCCCTCCTCTTAGCTGTAATCTTTTGAATTCTACTACCAACTATGACAGAAGTTTTGGATGATTTAGAATATGTCACTAACTCCAAGGAGGGCCCTGTAGCTTGCCCTGTGATAACATTCATCTCAGACAGAGGTGGTGCATTCACATTTGTCCTAGCTTTTGTGTGACCCTCACTTTGAAACCTTTTTCTTGGACTTCTTGTGAGTACCTGCACTGTGTTGGCTTGTTCTATAGGTGGTAACCCTAATTATTTCCTCATCTATTCTTCTTTCTTCTCATACCTCTCCCTAAACAACCTTTTAGCCTTAGTTTCTATTGCATTCTCCAGTTGCTTCCTATACCATGCCTTCAAGTCTCTTCCAAGTCCACTGTGCCATATCCTACCTCATGTCATCCTGACAGGTTCTTATTCCCCCTAGCTCTACCCCTACCTCTCCCTCTACCCCTCCATCTAGGTCTCCCCATCCCTCTTCCTCTCCCCCTATTCATGTATTCTTGTTCTTCTTCCATTTCCTCATCAAATCATCCCATGTATCATCAGAAGGTAGTACATTATATATATTTCAACAGTAGGGTTTTCAACAGGTTCAACATCACTTTCAACATCAGCTTCATTATCTCCCTCGTTAACACGTTCAGGAATAGGGTCTCTGGAATTAAGTCTACAGGTTTTATGAAATTGGATGAAGTGTTTCTCCTAGGGGTGAGCTTCTTAGGTCTCTCAACATCTATCACAAGTTGACTTGAACTACCCTCTAGCTTCCTTAGACTTCTCCTACGGATTCCCTTTTCAAGATCACATTCTGTGTGCCCAATTTTTCCACACTCTTCTTCAACTCATCAGCTATCCTACTTGCCCTCAAAGTCTTAGCAGCCTTCAGTAACTCATTTGGTGAATTAGTCTCACCCACCCATATATATATATAAGGTCTTTTCGAGGGAAGTTATTAAACATTTGCATCAAGTGTTGATCATTAATCAAATTCACTTGTTTTATTTTGTGAACATAAGAAAAACTTGCATGTTTTGGAATTGGTCTCTTACTTTCAACAGCCTTATCTCAATACTCAATAACTAGGTCAACTAGATTGACTGTGTCAATATCCTCAACTACCACAACAACATCAACACCCTATACTGAAATCTCAACACCACTACATCACTCATTCTAACACCATACCATATTCCAAGCACAAACACAGACAATCAAGTTCATAACACAAAATCAGTAAACAAAATAACAAATAATTTCATTTTAGGGCATAATACTTCAATACAACAACAGAAAATATGCAACAGAACAATCATGCCAAAACAGAGTACATAACATGCACAACTCAAACTTCATATAGAAACTAGGGTTTTGGATGCAAACCTGAACTTGGTTTTGGCAAGATAATGCAGAAAGTTTTGATCTTTCACCACATACCCCCGATTCTCAGCCCAGACTAAAATACCCTAATCGCAATTATGAAATTAATTTTTTTTAATACCCCCTTACTGTAACCCAAAAGAAAAATGACTATCACCGTCTTGTTTTGATGCTTTTATGGAGTTTATAATCAATGCTCTGCGATTTTTTTGTGTCTCGGTGAACACTTTGATAGGAAAGCTTGCAGAAGGAAGAACAGAAGGTGAGTAGTGAAGAGGGAGAAAGAAGGAGAAAGGGAGGGAATTAATTTCGTGTGGTTAGGTGATATAAAAAGGGGGCATAATGTCTTTACGCTATTTTGGTTAACATAGGTTTATATTTATGTTGAAAAAACATCATTAATATCATCATTAAGAGAAAAAAGTTAATTATGTCATTTTGTATAATCCAAAAAAAAAAGGTTACCATTGGTGCGTAGCAAAAGTTAGAGGTCGTCGTTGAGAATTTCCCTAAAAATAAAGGTTGATATTAAGGCCTTCTTGACAAAACTAGCAGTAGCGGGTAGCTGTTAGGGTAGCGAGTAGCTGTCAATTTAGGTTGTAGGTAAATAATCCTTTTTTTTTTCCTTTTCATTGACGTTAAACTCAACCCATAACAAATGTTGGCTCAATAAAGCCAAATATTAATGTAAGACAATTCAAACAATATGAATTCATAAAGCCAACACAAGGCCGGATAAAAAAAAGTCAAGCGGACGAACAAAAGGCCGAAACCTAGGAATATATCCAACACTAGATTTCAAAGGATTTCAAAATGAAGATGAGCGCCAAAAAGAAAGAGAATGGACGACTGCCATTCAAGATAAGAAGGATGAACCGTAAAGAAATCGTCACCCCGCGATGGCATTGTCCAAACTCCAAAGCTTCTAGGTTTCCAACCCGGAAAAAAAAAATAAAAATAAAATAAAAAAAATAAAAAATAAAAAATAAAACCCAAAGCTTCTATAAAAACATAATGGAACAGAAGGACGTTAAATCAAACAATCAAGGTTGCATTTTGCAGTCATGTAGCTTTCTTTAATTCTTAGCTCTTACCATTCAAGACGAAGCACTACTTGTATTTGTTATAGCAATAGTATGCTATAAGACTATCTCTAATGGTGACACTCAACTTTGAGTAGTGAAATTGAAATACAAAATGAATTGTTATTTACCTCAAATGGTGTTACCCAACCTACTTCTCCATTTAACAACTCGCGTGAAGTCTAATTTCCCAATGGTGAATACTAATGTCACTTTCAATTTATGATCCACCAAATCCATATAGTAAGTTTTTCAAAAAAAACAAATAAAATAAAAATAAAACTTAAATAAATTACAAAACATATTATAATATTAATAAGGCCCATACTTTTTGTCAAATGAGACTCAAAATTGAGTATCTATACTTAGAAACTTTCTTTTTAGAGTTGTTAAGTTTAAATACCAAATTAGGGCCTGTTCTCTTATTTTGAAATTCAGTTCAGTTCAGCTCCTAATTTCTTTCTCTTATAAAATATTCATTTCAGTTCAGCTCAATTCAGTTCAGCTGAGTTCAGTCAATGAGAACAGACCCTTATTGGTATCTTTTGTAAAAAAAAAAACTCTCGCAAAAAAAAAAAAAAAAACTCACTCAAGCCTCACCATTAGGATTGTCTAACACCTAATTAGTAGCAATTACATTTCCAATTGGGATTAATCATGGAGGTTGCACATGCTTTTTGAATTTAATTCAATTGTCATCCTGCTTATTTCTCTAGACACTTAAGTTTGTTTTCTAATTTAAAAATCAATTAATCTTGTCTAAAATTCGTACTGATCTGGTAACCATAAATAAATTACTCCTACACTAGCAAGGATTCTAACTCAAAAGTCGGTAGTTAAGGGGATACCCTTAGATAGTCGAATAAAATTGTTTATAAACGCATGTCATGAAGTTAAACTATGCTTTAGTCGAATAAAATTGTTTATAAAAGCATGTCATGAAGTTAAACTATGCTGAAATTTGATGGCAAAAAAATAGAGCAGACACCTTGAACTTTCCAGGCACAGAATTAAAATAAAGCAACCAACACATTTACCATAGAAGCATAATAAATGCCAAGTACTCAAGAATCTAAACCAACTACATTCAATAACAAAATTTAAAGACAAGTAATGTGTTCGGCATTCTAGAGTTTCAAGTCAAAAACTTAAAAATAACAGTATGAGATCTCCGGAACAGCTTCTTCCATAAGTGCATAACACAACTTCAGCTGTTTAACGGTACTGTAAATGCAAAGAAAATTAGATCAGGCAATGACATGAATGGTTAATGCAAGAAGTACAAAGCAAAGCTCAAACCACATAGCAATCCATCAACAGGGCTAAATAGCAGTCCAAGTATACTAAACAGAATAATATGATTTCCCCATATTACTCTCCTACGTTACAAACCCTCTTCCTCATAAGTACAGAGTATGATGTAATCTAGCTAATTTGGTATCCATCCTTGTTCATGAGAAAAATAAATTAGATGCCAAAAAAATCTCCGCACTCTGCCCCACTGGGGATGTCAAAGTTATGAACGAGAACAAAGTTAGAGAAAAAAGCCGTATATTAGAAATTCAGGCACACCAGGAAGCAACAAATTTATCATCATTCCATGCAGGAATGATGGAGCAAACACAAGTTATAATCAAGTTTTGACTATGGCACAAACAGTTTCTCATGACTACAAAATAGCCACTCGCATGATGCAGTCAAGTGCGGAGTAATAGATATCACAATGCAAACTTTGCAAAGCACACTCACCTTTCAAAAAACAAAAAACAAAAAACTAAAAACTTTTGACCAAATCATAGCTTGCACAAAACTCAAATTAACACGCAATCACATAAGCCAATCTTCAGCATCGTCATTGATTTTATGATAAAAAATTATTCTCTGGATTGGGTGAAAATTACTTCTACTGAAACATACTTTCATTTAAAAACCTTCTTCATTGAACACAGTCCCCTGAAGGATTCCAATTGCATATTTCAAATTAACATGATCTTTTCTTTCGGGTACATACAATCAAATAACCAAATAGGGAAGCTAAATATCAATAGGGTCATAGCAGAGAAATTAAGTTAAAGTAGTCGAGAACTCAAACCATTGCCAACGTATAACATACCCAACAGCACAAGATAATCAAATTCAACCTCAGAACAATTTCCCGTACTTTCCATTGATTTCAATATGGACATATCTAAAAGATCAATTTGTTCAAAGCCAAATCATCTAAAGACTACTACTGCCCACCAAAAAAACTACGCTGATACTAAAATTTAGCTATGTCCAATTTCAAATTCAATCCACTGTTTGATTCAAGCTTATACTTAAACGTTCGTGAGCTCGCCCCAGTCTATAACATCTAATCAACTTCAACAATTTCATCATGTAACAACCCAAATAAAATATAGCTCGTTTACCCTCTTAATTAACAAATCCATGAAACCAAATTGTTGCAAAACCCAGAAAACTATAAAAACCAATAAATCAAATTGCTATACAAAATAAAAAAATATATATATATATCATTAACAAAATCAAAACCCAGAAAACAGTAAATTCAAATCAAAAAAGTATGACAAATAAAACAGAGAATAAGGTGAAAAAAGAAAAAACCTTGATGAAACCGATTTCCTTAGCGTTGCTACGGAAGCACTGTCTGCAGCACATCAATCCATACTTGCGAATAATTGCGTGAGGGTTGCCACAAACACGGCTATTTCAAAATAACAACAAAAACAAATTAATTAAAAAAATAAAAATGAAATTTGAATAATCTGGAAAAATGAAAAGAGTGGAGAGAAAAGAGTACCAAGCACGAGATCCAGGACCATAATTCTTAGGGTGAGCGTTCCAGATGTTAGAGTGTCCCATTTTTGGTTCGACTGAGAAACCTTTGAGAGGAGAGAGAATACGGCGCTGCTCTTCTTCTGGAAAACCCTAGTGATTTCTTTAAGAGGTCAAGATGAATGAATATAAGGGTTTTTATTCGTAAGTTTTCGCCTAAATGCCTATCATATGAAACGCACCGTTTTTGTTTTTAATTTTTTTTCTTTTTTTATTTTACCCTCAAGAAATGGCAATAATAAAAAAACAATCTTTATAAATAAAATTAATAAATTATTAGCTGTGTTGTGTTTGTGTATGGCTGGTTAAAACGTTATTGGAGTAATTCTTAAAGCACTAACGAAAGAAGAGGGTCGTCTCTGATAATTTGGTGGTCCTGTTCTAACTATTAAAATGGGCCTTTTAATTTTAGAAGACTATTTTAAAGGTTAAAAATATTATTATTATAAGGAAAATTTCACATTTGCTACCAGGGAAAGCACTCGTGTTCACATTTGTTACCCCTTTAATTTTTTTATTTTATATTACTACCACACAAACACCAAAATTTTTGATATCACTACCATTTCACTGATGTCGTTACTATTTCCGTTAGTAGAGCCCAACCACCATCCAACCACCTCACCGCCACCGCTACATCTTCAACCACCGTCATTGCCACCATCCAATCTCCATTTCCCATCTACACCGGCACCTAAAGAAGCCCACGGCAGCCGCGAACTCCACCAGCAGCCCACCTCCTTCCCAAACGCCACCAACACCTCCTCACCTTCACACAACCACCAAGAGCACACCCATTCTTCCACCACCAAGGCTGCCGAAAACGGCCCCTTTCCCAGCCCAGACCACCAAGGTTGCCGAAAACGACCCCTTTCCAAGCCCCAATCACCTCAAAAACCCAACCCAAACCCCGATTCAGCCCCTTCCTCTTTAAACCTTGATCCCAGCCCCGATCCCAGCCACTTCCCCTCGAAAACCCGATCCCAAACCCATTCCGACCGGTTGGGGTTTGGTGGTTTCGATAGGTGGTGGTCTGGGTTCGTGGGTTTGAGTGGGTTTGTGGGTGGGTTTATTCTATGGGTGGTGGTGGTCTGGCAGTGGATTTGTGGGTGGGTTCGTGGGAAAGCACGTGGGTGGTGGTGGTCTGGGTTAGGGGGTTAGGGTGGTGTCGTGGTGGTGGTATGGGGCGTCGCCGGGTTTGGGGGTTACAGTGGTGTCGGTGGTGGTGGTTTCGGGCAGGGAAATAAGGGTTAGGGTTGTCGGTTTTGGGTGGGGAAGTGGAGGGGTTCGATTCCGACGCCGGCCACCGCATCTTTGGGAGCTGGCCGCCGACAGGGGGAGGGGGGAGGGTGGCTGACAGGGAGGGCTAGGGTTTTTTGGGTGGCTGGCTTTTATTTTTTGTTTTATTATTTTTTTTTAATTTTTTTTAATTTTTTAATTTTTTTTTAATAAACTTAACAAAAATCCTAACGGATTCCGTTAAGTGGTAGTGATTTCAACAGTTAGTGTGTTTGTGTGGTAGTAATAAAAAATAAAAAATTAAAGGGGTAGCAAATGTGAACACGGGTGCTTTTCCTGGTAGTAAATGTGAAATTTTCCTTATTATAAAATGGCTTTTTTTTTAGTATAGTACTACAAATTATTATAGAGCTAAAATATTCATATTACTAAATTTAATAGTAATTCCATAAAAGAACAAACAAAAACTTTTTATTTAAAAAGTGATCCTTTTAATATTTTTTGAAGCAAAATCCTAAACTATAACTTCATAATCAATTTAATTTTGTTTCCGTTCAAAAAAAAAATTATTTTATTTTGGAAAATAAAAGGCAAAGTCAAATATCTAGATTTAGGATGATTTTTTAGGTTTTAGTTTGGAAATGGTGGTCTTTTACGAGGAAGAAGGTGAATATGTAAGGTTATGATTTTTTTTTTTAAAAAGATGGGCCCCTGATTTTTGGGGGTCCGGTTCTGTGTGTGAGAAAAAACATGTCCAAAGACAGGCCTACGAATGAAAATCAACAAGTAAATATTAAAATCAATCTTGTTATTATGTCTAAAAAAACCTTTTATTAAAAATAATAGGTAAAATATTAAAATACCTCTATTACGGGTGTGTTCGGCAGTAACTTTTAGTAGGGCTGAGTAAAACTACCTGAAAAATCGATCCGTAACCGTTTCGAAAATTAGGGTACCCGATTCGATAACCATAACGGTTCGGGTACCCGTTCCGATATTTTATTATCGGGTATGGTTATGGGTATCATTTTAAAATTAACAGTTACCCGATCCGATTCGATAAACATTTTTTTTTGCTTTTTTTCCCTACTTAAATCTAAACTTTTACTTTACTTCATAATCACTTTATAATATCAATGATTTGTAATATTATTAATAATTTGGTCAAGATCATATGGTATTTGTTTCGGGGTTTTCTGATGTCCTGCGGGAGAGTTACAATTCCGAGACTGGAACCGGACGCCTGTACCTGCAAAACAAACGGATGCTCCGGATGATTGGAGATCCGCCTCCGACGGTCAAGTTAGTACTTGATTAAGGAGTAATTAATGCGGAAATTAAAGTGATTGGGTCTCTTTAGGTGAGAGTGTTTAATGTGTGTAATCTGCGTTTTTAGCGTAATCCCCCTTAATGAGGATTAAGGGAGGTATTTATAACCTCGGGAAACGTGTCAATCTAGGTTTAGGTTAACCTTGGGCTGATTGGGCTTCCCTCGGAAGTTGGGCCTAGGTGACCGGTTATCCCAGGTGTCATGGGAAGGACACGTGTCGTGTCGTAATTGGTCCATAGTGGACGGATCATTGCTTGACACGTGGCAGGCTCCTATTGGCCCATGTGACGGACACATGGCGGAACCTGATTGGTCCACTTGTCAGATAGTGATTGGTGGGGAAAAATCCCCTAATCATTTGCCCCTCACAGGTGGCACGTGACTGGTCACGTGTTACCTGTGACAAGTATCGCCCTGTAACAGGCGACAGCCTGCTACAGGTGTTACTCGGCGAGAGGCCGAGAGATTCTCCCGCCAAAATTTTGAATTCTGGAAGTGACCCTTCGCCTTCTCACTTCGCCTATATAAAGGAGTGTTGACTTCGGTCATTTTCACACTTGAAAACTTTGTGAGAGAACATTCGGACCCCTGAACTTGCTCTTACATTTTGGACCCTTTCTGCCTACCGCCTGCTCTGACAAGCCGACTGCAAAGGATTTTCAGAACTTCATCAATCGTCACTCGTTCAGGTAACCGTCGATTCTCTTACTCTTAATTTTCTCTTTACTTTATTCTTTTTTGAAATGGCACCACGGAAGCACACGACACGACCTAGGTTAGTGATAAGCCGGTCACCGGGGACGGCTGAATCTAGGACTAGGAGTGCCGCCTGCCCTTTTCTGGACCCATCTTTGCCCTTTATACAAAGTCCGACTGTATCTGTGTCTATGCAGAGCATGATGGCCAGAACAAAAAAGACTGCCAGGATCTCAAACTCAGACGGCTCCTCCCACAGGGTGCCGATTAGTGAAACATCTGACCAGGCGCCAGATGTGGAAGTGAAACAAAGCGGCTTGAAAGCCGGCAGTTCTGAGGGAGGAGTCAAAGTGACCCCTTCCCATTTTACAGTTGACAATTCTACATTCTCTCCTGCTCCTTTTAAAGGAGAGGAGGCGGGCCCCTCCGGGAGAGGGGAGGAGTCGTCCTCTTCGGACTCGTCAGAGGAAGATTCCGAGTCTAGCTCTTCTGGCCATGCTTCCCTGGACACAGAAGAGAAAAACAGTCGCCTACAAGAGGCGAGGCTTTCTCACGCAGTTGAGAAGGGGGACGATTGGGCGGAGCCATCCGCCTCTCACCGAGAGCAAAATACCCCCTACTACTGAACGGTACCTCGGGGCCGGATCACGGCCATGCAAGAGAAAGTGGAGAGCTTTATCGCAAACCACACAATGGGCCCCGGCTTTTTAGTGTTCGTGCCGGATCCAGAAGACACAGTCGTATGGCCGGCTGGTACCAGTTATGATGGCGCCTGCTTTGGCTGCTACGAGGCGGCCATCAAGGCTGGGCTGCGCTTCCCACTACATCCAGCTGTTCAGCGGATCTTGGATGGGTATGAGTTGGGGTTATGGCAGTTAGCCCCGAACTCCTGGGTCAACGTACTCGGCTATGTGGCCGGGTGCAAACTGCACGGGGTGGAGCCGAGCTTCGAGGCTTTCGCCCACATGAACTACCTCAGCCGGACCCCTAAGGCAGGCGGTACCGGCTGGTATCAATTGACGAGCCACAGGGGCTACCTCATGACGAGAGGTAAAGCAAACAAATGGAAGGACTGGCGAAGCACCTTCCTTATCATTGAGAGTTCAGACACAGAGCTGAACAAGCGCTTCAACAGGTGGAACAGGAATCCGCCCCTTCTTGTAGGCGGCCGCAGCATGCCGCCTGTTCCCCCCAAGGCTAAGAAAGAGATCCTAGATAAAGGACTCTTCAAAGTAGAGTCGAAGGTGAACTCTACTTCAGGGGTACGAGAGCAAGTACCCCTGCACTGCGTCCCGAGCTTCAAATGGCTCTACGACGAGTACTTTTTGGCCGCCTGTGGCCTCAGCAGTCGGTGCTCAAGAGGTAGCCGGCTTGTCGAATACTCTGTTGTTCCATGCATTTCTTGTTATGACTTTTATTAACTTTGCTATTTGTTTTTGCAGCGGACGCCATGAGCAAAATTACCGCCTCCAAGACTGCGGCGGCCATGTTGCGGGCCTCCATCATGCAACAGTCTTCAACCGAATCCCCCAACAAGGGGGCACCCTTGGTGGGCTTCGAACCTTTCACCCTCTTTTTGGAGTTGTGTTTATGCATATACTGACTCTTTTCTTCTTTTTTAGACGGGCGCTCCAAGAGCTTCTTCTTTCCAACAGCCGGACCCCAAGGCCCGGAGGACGACTGTTGCGAGCTCTCCTGGTTCTGCCAGGAAACATGCGGCGGCTGAGAAACAGCCGGCCACTTCTTCTAAAACTCCAGCTGGGCCACCTAGAAGTATGAAATTGTTCTTGTAAATTTTAGACTTGCTCCCTCCTTTACTAGGTCTAATCCGTTTGTTTATGCTTGATGCAGCCGGCCCTCA